TCACTAGATTTTTGAGCTTGGGCTCTAGTAACAGCCACATTGCATTGATAATTCTGGTCTGACTCCAACAAATCAAAAAGCACTGGAAAAATCTCGTCCCAGAATAGCTGAATAAGGCAGGTTATCAACCACCCCAACATTTAAAAGGTATGTCTGTCCATTCACTTTAATGTACACGTCAGCTGTTGAGTACATCTTCTCATCTCCATGCACACAACAAATGGGGATGGTGTCACTAACACGGACAATATTGGGGGGCACAAAATCTCTATGTATCAGTGTACGAGAACTGCCAGAATCAAGCAAAGCTCTTAAAGTTGTTCCATTAGCTTCAATTTTTATCATTTTAACAGTCTGGTCACACTGGAGCCCCCTGTAGCTCAGGGGACAACATTCTCAAATATTGTTCAAGGATGATTATTTCACCAATTTCTTGGTTCGTTTTACCTTTTGGCTGAATCCATTTCCCGTACAGGTCTTTAAGTCGAGCATACAACTCCTTAGGGTTCTCATCAAGCCTGACTTCCAGTGAACGGAATCGCTGCCTGTAGGTCTCAGGGTTAACATCATATTTGGACAAAATTGCAGCTTTAACTTTGTCATAGCTGAGAGAGTCATCAATATCCATATGAACGTATGCTCCTCTTGCCTTGCCCGTTAGCAGTGGTATTAATCGAAAAACCCAGTCTGTTTTTTCCCAACGATATGCTAAGGCAATGCGTTCAAATGTAGTCAAAAAATGCTCAATATCATCACTATCAGTCAACTTTTCCAGTCTGGGTTCATGCAATGAAAACTGACCTGATAATGACTGGACTGGATTCAGCTTGAGCTTGAGGAGAACTAGGAATGTGAGGTAGCTCCCTTGACTCTGGTGACTCTGTGGTAGGTAATGGTAGCTCTGGTACTGGTGATGTCCGGGACTGCACCTCTAACTGTAAAAGCTGAAACTGATGTTGCAATGCTTTGAATTTTTGTTCTTGTCGTGCAGTTACCTCTTCTTGCCTTGCTTCCCGAGCCTCCTGTTGACCCATATGAGCTTGCAATATTGACATCAGATCTGACAGAGATGGCTCCCTTTCTTCAACCTCAGTGCTCTCCACCATTTCAGAGACTCCAATTTCCTCCTCAGCATCAGCTTCCTTCTGAACAGTTACTCCTTTCTTCTTTTCCACCTTTCCTCCACGATGCATTTTCTTTTTTTCTGGGGGTGAAAAAGCCTCAAAGGAAAAAAAAAAACTGTGTCCTCAACTGGCAGATCCCACTGCTGCCACCAATTGTGAGGGACCAAGCAGCCAAAGCAAAGAGGACACAAGCAAAAATATCTTCAAAAAGGGTTTTCTTTATTTTAACCCTCAAAAAGTCCAAAATTAACAAAATTCAAAACCATACTTAGCAGGCCCATAAAACAGGTCAACTAAATATAACTCTACAAAAAGTAATTTCCAGAAAACTTAAACAACAAAGTGAGACACAACTTAACTCACAAACTGACCTAATTACAAAGACACATGAGGGTAGCTTTTATAATGATTTGGCCAAACCATTTGAACACAATAGGGGGGAAAACAAAAACACACACTAATATTAACTAAGCACAGAATAACCTAACTAAACCTAAAACACCCCTGCTCCTGGTAAGCCCATGGTTGGTCCTGCTGAGCAGGCATTTTGTCCCCAGAGTCCTCAGCCACGCCTTTTGCCCAGACAGGAAACAGCCACCGCCCAAACCCAGGTAACTCAAAGAAAGAGAAACATAATTAATATAACAAAACATTTTAGAAAAACCACACAATGTTACTATGTGCGCGCCTCATAATACCAGTGTTAGGTTTAACCAAATGATTAATG